CCGGCCGTAGATTCAGGCAACCGCCACATGGTGTGCGACCGAGCAGCCGGGACCCATGCCCTCGGGCAACTGCCTGGCCGCTGGGGGCCTCGGCAGCAGCCTGCCGCTGTATTGCCAGCTGGACTTGCGCTTCTTCGACACCCCCCCCCGGCCCGGGCCCTGGCGCCTGCTGCTGACCCTCCACTCGCCGGATCTCACCTTGTGTGGCCCGGTGCAGCAGGTCATCAGCGTTCCGCCAGGCGCCGGGGCCGCCGACGGCCCGGCCTGGCGGACCACCATCTCGCTGGAGGTGCTCAATATGGCGGCCCTCATCACGGCCCACCCCAAGCCCAGCACCCACTCGCTGCCGGAGATCCGCCTCATTCCCCTGGGCCCGGAGGACAACGTGGTCACCGGCCGCAGTGCGGCCCTCCACTGTGCGGCCCTCCGCCATCCTCACAACCCGGAGATCACCGGTGCCACTGGGGCCCCGGCGGCGGCGGCCGCCGCCGCCGCCGCGGCCGCCGGTCGTGCCGGCCGGCGCGCTTGGAAGGGTGCCGCCGCCGGGGGCACGGCGGCCGGGCCGGCGGCCCCCTCGGGCCCCGGCGAATTTGGGCTGGTGCAGCCGCTCGATTGCTCGGTGGCTTTGCGCGTCGTCAACTCGCACATGACCGTGTCCTTCAGTTAAGACAGTTAATACACCCCACCTTCTGGCAGCTGTCCATCTGATTGCGGGCGAAGTCGCCCTGCCAGTGGCCGGCCTGCGGGCCGGCGACCGGGTGCCTTCTCTGCCAGTTCCATTTTTTTTTGTCATTTTTGTTGAGGGGTGTGAATGTCGGGCGGCGCGGAGGGGGGTGGGCGGAATGCTTCGCTGGATGCCACAGGGGGCCCGGCGGACGGGTCCGAGCCCACCGTCCTCGGCTCGGTGCATGGGTGGGGGTGGGGGTGTGTCTATGTGTGTGTGCGTGTGTGTGTGTGTGTATGTCTCTTTCACGGGCCCGCGGCGCCAGTCATCTCAAGGCCCGGGGTGATCGAGCAGGGCCGCGCGTCCCCCCTGATCCCGGCGGTGGCCCCCTGTACTCTTGGGCTCGCGCTCGGGCCTTCCCCGGAGGCCGGAGGGCGAGGGCCATCAGGGACACGGTCTGGGGCTTCTGCCCAGCCCCCGCTACCCTCCCCCCTTGTGGTGTCGGGCCCTTCTCCAAGACAGGGCATTCGGGTGATGGCCAATCGAACTGACGCGAGATGTCGAGGCGCGATCTCACGGGGGGCGGGATTCAGAGTCTGGGACGCCGACTTGTTATTATCGCCCCCCCCGGGTAGCCGGCGGCCGGGTACCAGCGGCCGGCCCGAGTGTCCCCGGCCCCTCATGGCAACCAGCCGCGCCAACTGCCCGCAGTGCGATCGACGGGAGCTCCGGCCCGACCCGTGGCCCCTCGCTGACCAAGCCCCGATGATGACTGCTGACTCGGCGGTCTAACCAATCTCGGCACAGAGCAGCGGATAGTGGGCGTGTTTGTGTGTGTGCGTGTGTGTGGGGGGGGGGGGGG